GCTAGCTGTGTGTGTGTGCGTGCAGCTTTATGTGTGTGTGTGTGTGTGTTGTGTGTGTGTGTGTGTGTGTGCGTGAGTTTTATGTGTGTGTGTGTGTGTGTGTGTGGTGTGGTTGTTGCTGGGTGGGTGTGTGTGGTGTGGTGTGGTGTGTTGTGCGGTGTGTGTATGTATGTGTTGTTGTGTGTGTGTGTGTGTGTGTGTGTGTGGTGTCGTGTGGTGGTGTGTTGTGTGCTGTGTGTGTGTTGTTGTGTGCTGTGTGTCGTGTGTGTGTTGTTAACCATGGACTTGGCTCGGTGGGATGTATGGAGACAACGATGGAGCTGAGTATTCCTGGCAGCAGATGAGAAGTTCTTTCTGGGCTGCCTCAGGTGGAGGTGGATTTGATGGAAAGAACCACAGGGGAGGATCCTCCGGACTCTGAGGACACCACACACAACACGCACACACACACACACACACACAGCACACACACACAGCACACACACACACACACCACACACACACACACACACACACACACCACCACCACACACACACAACACACACACACACACACACACAATAAATAGTCTTTAAATAGGTTTGCTGGTATCAGTACTTTTCTCTGACAACTTTTTCTGATCTACTTCTTACATTGTTGAACACAAATACCTGTACTTTCTACTTCTTACATGTTGAACACAAATACCTGTACTTTCTACTTCTCACATGTTGAACTCAAATACCTGTACTTTCTACTTCTTACATTTTCCAAACAGGCTGATTCCTTTAGTCTGAATGTGTGTTTGGTGGCGTGATCATTATTATTTAGAGTCATTGCGTGCCTATTGATTTGAACACGATCCGTGTATCCATCATTTCCTGGTCTTCTCTAAAGAAGAGGGACCAATGAAAATGTTGTCATGTTGCTGTTGGTCACCATGGAAACATTAATTAGCTAACAATGATATTATTGTTCTATTAATATAAAGGGAGGTCAGGTACTCTTTAAAACAGCTGCTAGTTATGGGTACTTTTTACTGAAGTACATTTCAAAGCCTCTTTACTTTGACTTGAGTAAAGAAGTTTAGTCAGTACTTCTAATTTTACCAGAGTATTTTTAAACACAAGTATCTGTACTTCTACTTGAGTAAAGGATGTGTACTTTTGCCATCTCTGGATATATCTATATAGATCAGGATTATGAGAGAATCTGAACACTAAATGAAGCAGTTTGTTGTGAACATTGCTGACCTTTGTGTGAGTCGTAGAGATGGTGCTGGGGGAGGGAGGAGGGGTCCAGGTGTCCCAGGGAGAGGTGGTAAGGGCTGGAGTATAGACTGCTGGGTATGGGAGGGTAGCCTGAAGACACAAACAAAACAGGTCAATACGATGAGATTTTACAACAACTTGTTTTCCGGGTCTTCCTTGAGAACTTAAACAAAATGTGATTAATGGAGAATACTGTCTGTATCTCATAACTGTTGCAAAACAAAGGGATCCAGTACGAATTGAATCCGTTGTATCCATTGCAGTTGATCGTAGGTGAAGCTCAACAGCTAACTATGCTACAAACATACAAGGTATATATGTTGGTATGTTGGTAGGTAGGTAGGTAGGTAGGTAGGTAGGTAGGTAGGTAGGTAGGTAGGTAGGTAGGTAGGTAGGTAGGTAGGTAGGTAGGTAGGTAGGTAGGTAGGTAGGTAGGTAGGTAGGTAGGTAGGTAGGTAGGTAGGTAGGTAGGTCTTAAATAAATGTTCTCAAACATATTCTTACACTTACAATGGTTTGGTTTCTTAAAAGCTAATGTACTAATGCAGGTATCTTGTTATTTTAAGTTTGTATTTTCATGGTGGATTGCACTTATTGTAAGTCTCTTTGAATAAAAACGTCATTTAAATGTAATGTTGTGTAATGTTGGGCGGGAGTCTGCCCGACAGCCAGCTGCTGCTCCCAGAGACGGGTCTTAATATAGACAAAGCCTAGAGTGTAAGACTCTGGATCTGTGTGTCAGGACTGAAACTCTGATACTGGCTGGTAGGTGTCACCACATGTGAAAAAAAACACCCAGAGGGGGCGAGACATTCCCCGCTCCCACACTCAGACCAGTCCAAGAAATATCAAAGACGCCGCCGGGCAGCAGAGCCGAAATATCAACCCGTCTCCTCCCGATCCGAGGGACAGAAATGGAGAAGCGGACGGAAATATAAGAGGAATGATGTGACGGGACATGCGTGATAAGTTTATAGCAAAGCTTCTTTCAACCACAGCTAACAGCTAGCATTGATCCAAGACAAATCCAGAGTCTTCCTCTTTACCGCTGCACGGAAACATCTCCAGCTTTCAGTAACTGTAGCTTATAGATCCAGCCACCAGGTATTAGGAATCTCTTAGGCTGCGAAACATCTCTCTTTGTATCAGAGCATTTGGAGGATCCTTTAGCCAGCAAGAGCCTTTAGCTTCTTTAGCTGCAGATAGCTACTGCTCAATTCAGGATGAACTTTAAGTCGAGCACAAAAAGGTACATCAGCGTTTCATCCCCTCCCTTCGTTGGAGGAATATAAAGTGCAACAGGGTCAGTCAGTGATTGACTTAAAAGTCCAAAAGGGTGCTACTATGCTCAATTTCAGGTTCATATCAGTATCAGTGTCTCTACTGGGACATGTCTCCATGCTTTAATGTTCAAAAAGCTCTTTATTTTTCTCATACTGCCTGTGCTGCAGCACCTCTTTTCACCCTCTGTCTGAAACCAGAGCCCAGTCTGCTCTGATTGGTTAGCTCTGTTGTGATTGGTCAACCGCTTAGAGATGTCCCGCCCCTTAGACTATGACGTAGGCTAAGGGGCGGTTACATTCCAGGCAAAGAAATCTCTGGTTGAACTTCCTTTGTTGTATGTTCTGCAACGAAGAAACCAACTGCAATATATGTCCTGTTTACATCGGCACACGTATGCCCAGTGTACGTGAATGGTCATGTGATGCAGGTTTCTGATGATTGTGGCTTTAAGCTCAAACTCCTTCACACTTCATATCTTGAGTGTTTAATCTGCACAGAAACCAAAGTGTAACGGAACAAATTCACCATGTTACGGTGGTTTACTGAGACGTGCCAGACTATTTTTGGCTCTGAGCAGTTGCCAGGGAACCAGCTAAATGTCCAGGAAGTTACTCCTCCGATTATTCCCTTTAAACATAGTGCACCCTCTTTAACTGTGAATCAAACACAGCAAAATGGAGATAGAAATCATACCGAATCTGATGCGTTAGGGAAGCAGTGAATCTGTGTGAGCCCTGCTGTCAGTTTTAAAAATGAGCTCTAAATAGAAACCATTCGTCCTTCTCTCTTTACCTTATCGAAATGCAGTGCGGGATACACACTCCCATCTATCTGACCTTCTACTCCAGCGAGATTTGATAAGGAGACGCAGAAGGACACGAGGGAGAGAGGAGAGATTCAATCACCTGCAGAGCGAGTCTTCACAAGAGACAGAGAGGTCCGTAGAGACCCAGAGATATAAACCTGAAACTGTGTTTATAAGGTAGGTCATAGAGATGTAGTGGGAAAGTGGGCCAGGAGAGCTACAGATGGAGACAAAGTGCATATTGGACCAAAAAGAACAAGAGAGAGGAAGATAGATTACAGAAACGCGTGGCAGGCGAAAGTACCAGACAGGTGGAGGACGGAGGAAACGAGATGCATATAGGACACGGCTCGGAGCAAAGAGATAGAAATGGAACAAGATCCCAGCGGCGTTCGCAACGAGAGACAGAAGAAAGAGAGTCTCCTGGGCTTTGGACAAAAGCGAACTGTGAGAGACATGGAGTGAAAATGTGATGCATATTCAACTAACTGGATTCTGTAGCAACCCAGAGAAACCGAGCCCTAGTTGTAAAGAGTGTGTGGTGATTTATGGGGATACAGCGGACTATCATGGGCATGTTTTCCTTTCATCGACACATCTTCTCAAAAGGTGGCATGTGGCCAGTGTTTCTCTGTTTATGAATGGTGATGAGATGAATGCACACACCTGGCCAATGCACAAGTAATTGAAATTTTACAGAAATCACAGTGTGAAGTAGTGCAATAATAAAAAATGCAGGATGAGCAATTTTGTTTAAAAGGCTAATTAGTTGTTAGAATAACATTTTGAATGAAGTATTGTGGATCTTCAAATATATCCTGGACTACAAATATTTGTTTGTAGTTGCTCGGTAGGGATACAAAAAATAATTGCAATATCTGTTAACTTTATTACAGTAAGTCATTTTTGAGAATTGATATAATTTATTTTATCGACACTTCTGCAAAATTGTGTCATGCTTTGCTGGGATAAGATAAATGCAAACACTAAAAGCAGTGTTTCCCCTATATACAAATAGCGGCGGCAAATAATAATAAGTGGCGACCCTTTTTTGATTGTTTGTTATGTGGATTTGTAGTATTTGTGTTACTGTATGTTCAATAAAGGTGTATTTTGCTAAGTCTTGAGACATTGCCACTGTATGTACTAGGCCTCAAGAGCCTTTCTTGTGCTGGCAGACACATAAAAATATATTAGCGGGGCGCACTTCGCACACACTAAAAAATTCCACACGCTCCGTGCTCTCATTTTGCTGGGCCTTAGCACCGCTGCTATGGCTCCATCCTAGGGGAAACACTGAAGAGCTTGTTCTGCATTTATATAATGTCATTATTAAATTGTATTAAAGGAAATGAAATGCTATTAAACATGTCTTATTATTATACAAAAGATTTAGTGTAATAAAAGATGGAGACATTCTAACACAACCTGACCGTTGGTACTTAAAATCTTCTCATTGTGTCTGTTATTGAACAGCAGGCTAAAATACTTTTGTTAAAACTTATATTTAGGAAGTTATGTTCATTCAAAGCTAAAACTGTATCCTCGACAGATAAGGGAAAAAAATTATTTAAAAAAGAAACAGAAAAACTCAAAACATTGATCAGCTGATACATAACCAATCGGTGCGTCTCTTGTGATTTACCTTCGTGAGCTTTTGATGCCCAGAGCTGAGCCATCTGCAGACTGCTGGGATTGGCCGATCTGTACCCGGGGTCAGAGGTCAGGTGGGAGGGGCCGTGGTAACCAGACAGGAAGGGACTGGAGCCTGCAGAGTAGGCATCGCCTGAGAAAAGAGAGAGAAGACCGTCAGTCAGTCTCAAACAGCACTGAAGAATAACAATGCGGCGGCTTTATTCCCATTCAATACGGCCGCTCTGAGGCTAAACTTCGCTCATCGTATAAATAATAAAGGCTGTACTGAACTCGACGTTTTAAGGATATTTAATATTGTAAATAAAAACAATAAACAAACAGAATCATACGGTCAACAAAATATATCAGAGCTAAGCTAACCCCCACAGAGTGCCGCAGTGACGCGTCCTAAAACCAGGAAGTAAACTCCTTCCGGTTCCTTCGACAAAAAAAGCAATGCAATTTCTCCATAGGATTTTGGAAAATAGCTGGAAATAAGGTCTGTGGTTGAAACACATTTAAGACACGGATCACGTTTTGTTCAGCCGGATAATATCCACATATCTACCCTACTTTTATCATTTTCGAATCAAGCAGAACAGGGCTAACAAACTTAGCGGGAGTGTTTACGTGTTCGGCGTAATGACGTACAACGGCCTCGACAACTTCTGTAGTCCTATTCAGCCACTTGGTAACAGCCATCGTTTTTCAGACACGTAAACTCTTCAGAAATCACCAGTGGGGTCACTGCTGATGGATTTAATGTCGTAGAACAAAACGTGATCCGTCTCTTCAATGTGTCTCAACCACCGACCTTATTTCAGATATTTTCCAACATCCTATGGAGAGATCCCATTGGCTCTGAGACCAGGGAACAGGAAGTGGTGAAATGCTGACTCACTTCCAGGTTTTAGGACTCCTTCCTGCACCACTCTATTGGAGCTACACAAACCATGTCTATCCTCCCATAACAATGTCTTTCTTTACTCCAACCAAATCCAGACCTTTCTGGGGAACACAGATAACCACGACCACGTGAAGAACTACATCTACCCTCCTATTTTCTCCCGCTTCATCCGAGTCATCCCCAGAAGCTGGATGACCTCCATCACCATGAGAATAGAACTGCTGGGCTGCGACTTTGAGTGACACACAGACACACATCCACACCTAAGTTATAAAAAGGACATGCACAAAACCAAAACACATGCAGACTGAAAATAGGGTATGATGAATCCCACAGTAGGGTCATGTATGGAGAATAGTAATATATGAAGTTGCAACACGTGTGTGTAGGCAGAAACAAACACACAGTTTTGTGGAAGATAATTGAAAGTTTTGCAAGTACCAATGACTGTACACGGAAGAAGTTGAATAACAGCAGGGCTTTATAACGGAGAAATGTAGATTGGTTAACGTACTTTAAACTCCTCTTACTTGTCTTCTTTTTAAATGATCTAATTTACAGTGTGTGAGATACGAACTATAGGAAGATGTCAAATAAGATTTCAAAACCCTACTAAAAAAATATTTCAATTGAATCACTTTAGACCAAATTGAGCCCTGGTCTAAACAAATTCATAAAATATTGATAAAACTACTGGTTAACGACTCAAAAAAAGAGTAATATAACTATTTGAGTCACTATGCAAGTAGGAAGCTAGTTAAACCGCAGGCAGTCGAGTTTAAAATGTAGTTAAACACTAGTTTCACTTCTCACCCACGTAAATGAATCACCCAGGCCCCACTGTTAAACTCATTACATCACATGCCACATGTTAGACTCTTTTCTCCAAAGCAACTTACATACTCAATACTGTGGGCAATCCCCACAGGAGCAATTTGGGGTGAAGTGTCTCAGGGACACAACGACATGCTGACTGCAGTGGGGTTTGAACCTGATCCCAACACATACGCACAACCCACTGCACCACACGCCTCCTCATTATGTGCAAAGGGTTGAATATAAAGATATATGGTATTCTCAGATAAAAACCGTTATAAAACTCACTGATAAGTGCAGTGTGTTTGAGTAATCTTCTGCCAATAGTCTATTTTTTTAAATACTAGTAGCATTTAAGCCGATATATGGTGTGCATCAGAAATGACTTTAAATGAATGTAAATATGTAAGTAGAGGTCATGTAATTTATTTTTCAATAAATATGATTCCTATTATTCCATGTCCAGCTCTGTGATGTATATAAAGATAAATGAATGTATGTGTTGGTGTCCTGGTTATGAGTGTGTGAGCTCGGATATCTTCTCAGGGTGTGTGTAAGGTGTCACTTTCAGCACCTCTCTTTGGGTTCAGCTGCAGAGTCAACACACACGTTCAGCTGCACACACACACACACACACACACACACACACACACACACACACACACACACGCACACACACACACACACAC